TATTTGGGTCGTTTTTTCTATCCCCACTCGTCGCCCGTGATGTAGCAACTCCCTTTCCATAAGGGCGCTTGCTGCGGGTAGACAACTAGCAAGCAAGAACTTACTGCGAGTACCTTTAGCTTTTGCAAACAGTGAAAGCCGTTCTTGGATCACGGGTTTGGCCACCTCCTTCCAGGGAATTTGACAGTTCTGAGCGTCAAGAACAATGGATTCCACGGAGACAACCTCGCTTGACAGACTTGACGCCATAGTTAAGCCAGAACCACGAGGGAATGAAACGTGAGGGTAATGACGTAATCAAGCGGGCAAATTATTAATATGTTTAAGGTAAAAGTTTAAAAACTTAACTGGCGTTCTCCGGTGAAAAAATGTGCTAAAAATTATAAGCTTTCGATTGCCAGTCAGAATCCTATGACAAATAAAAACGCGGAAATTTCGGTGAAACATTGAATGAAGAAAAAATTACGTGAACGAAAATGACAATAAAAGTGCGAAATTGATAAATAATATAACAAACTGACAGATTTTTGACAGGCTCCTGGTTTTGATCGATCTCAAAACAAACGTGTGTGACAGCATGACAATTGGCATGTCTGCCTTTGAGCCTGACGAAGCAAATGTCTTCATGCTAGCTGTATGATCAGATCCCTAGTGAATCGTGGTTATTTTCATACCGAGTTTTTTTTTTTTTTTCCCTTCACATAAAGCAGTAGATACCCTATGTGATGCTAGCGCACGACAGGAGGCTTCCTTGATCGGCTCTTTGCAAATGTTTTTGGGATTGTAACCATATTTTTGGTATTGTAACCTTATTTTTGGTGGATAAAACCTAAAACATCGCAGAAATAAATTCATTTAAACATTTCGAATGAAATAACTCCGTGGCGGTTGTTTTTTATTTACAAAAAATAAAAAAACATAAGATCTCAAAACGGATTTCGCCGCGTGTTTCTTTAATCGAAATCCATATTGGGGAAGGATTTAACTCAACAAAATCACCGTCTAACTCTGTTTTCAAATCTTGTGTTCGATTGAAAATCAGAAGATTTGGATAAAAAGGGTCTAAGGCCCTTTTTGCATGGAGGTGGGGGACCCCAGGTAGGTGACGTAACCCGCCTAACCGTGGTCGAAAAATAGCTCGCGTTTACATGTAATCTTACAACCCCGGGGTGAGGTTACGAGAGGTTGTTGCATGGTCGCAACGCATGTAAACAGACAAAATGGCAGGCAAACGACGCATATTGGCTGTCAATGCACTTTTTCTTTCACTAGGTGCTCTTGCCGCCACTTTTCAACACTGTGGCTTTTTATTGTCACTTTTAATGACGCAAAGCCTCCGTCAAAAGCAACTAACTGTTCAGGCAACACAGCAGTACAATGCCGCTGTTGCACGACTTCGACACATTCGAACAAGAATTGACCGTCGTCGAGGTAGAATGTGGAGAAATTCGAGGAGGGCAGAATAGTGGCGGCTTAACTTGTTCAATGGAATTTTGCCGGAAAGAGAGTGGAAGAAGAACTTGAGAATGGACCGTGCAGTTTTTCAACCTGCTAGGAGTCCAAGGGGACTTGATGTGTTGTCTGTTGAAAAACAACTGGCCACGACTCTATACTTTTTGAAGGATCAAGGCTCTCTTACGATGACAGCAAATGCATTTGTAGTTGCAAATTGCAGTCTCCTTGGTGGTTCGAAAAGTATGCGACATTATCACTAATGTTTTAGGCCCAAGATAAATAAAATTGCCCAATACCATTCATAAATTGAACTCCACTCAGTTCAATTACCATTATAAATCAATGCGCCGGTATGTTATATTAATTAAATTCTTGTGTTTATTTTCTTACATATTATTGATTCTTTTGCTTGTATTGTCAAATTAAAAATAATTTCTTCTAGAACTTTTGGAAACTCACTAAACATTTATTGTGGTTGGACAGCCTTTTATGTCCTTACTTTATCTTGAATGGATAAATGGCTAAACCCAAACAGGCATTTAAATAAATATATATATAATCATGAATAACTACTGCGAACTATATACTCTAATATCAAATCTTTTATAGTGAACTTTAACACAACAAATGTATTTCTTTTCACCTGGATACAACACCAACCTCTAATAATGAAAGCTGTCATCTTCCTGTAGGGTTTGTGTAGCACCTACACTTGGTCCTTGCCCAGGGATGGACAGCGGTGTCACTTCTTCATTATCAATTCTGTTGAACTGGAATGTAAAGAACCTCTGCTTGATGGGGTAACATGTGATGGTGGGGATGCAAAGCCACTACCTTTGAAATGTTTGGTAAGTTACTACCACTAGCTAAATTATTTATTAAATTGAAGGCGTAATTGTAACTCTAATGGATATCACAGTTCACGCCGTGTTCGGATTATAGCTTGCCAGCCTGTAGCTATTCTCTAACTTTTTCTTCATCTTCTTTTTCACAACAAAAATCCTATTCTAGACGCCGAACTGGCCACACAATGTGGCCATTCCTTTTGTGGCTTTTGTGTAAATATCCTTAGAAGCAGAGACCAAGGGCAATCCGCCAGATGTGAGATTTGCCGTCAGCCTGTAACGACATTCTTCCCAAACCGTCTGGCAAATGCAGCGCTTGGGTTGGTCCATGGCCACTGCAAGTGGTGCGGATCGAAAATAACGCCGAATCAGCCAAAAGATCACTTGGAACGGTGTCCTGAACTGGAGGTTAGTTGCCAACAATGCCAGGAAAGCATCAAACAGGAAGAAATGGACGCACGTAGACGCACGTTGGTCATGGACGTTGTCTGTTAATTGTGGATCGGATTCAAGAGAAAATATAAACAAAACCACCAAGATTTATTTTGCAGTTTCACGGAGGTGCCTTGCCTGCTCAAATGTGGAGAAAATATAATTAGGTAGGTTCCAATAAAGCCTTTGGAATATACGTGAATTTTCGCAAAACTCGTAACGGAATGCCAAAAAAGTTTTTGTTCATTTTTCCCTCATTCTGGTGGCATCAGAAGGACAGATACTAATAGAGGGTATCTTTCGACTACTATTATTCCTTTATTTACCTCGGGGAAAAAAAAACATGTAGATACAATATTTTTACCTAATGATGACGCCATATCTGATACTTCTGAGTCACCTGGTTGCTTAGTAGTATTGCAACAGATTATATTATGATTCAGCTATCAACGGGCATGGTGTAGTTGTAAAATTAGAATCAAAACACATGAAACTTCACCGTGTACCTTTCCTTCTTGAAAGTGCTTGATACCATCTCATTCAATTGAGTATGGAGGAGGAGTGTCCATCTGCCCCGTAAAGGGTTGCAGGAAGACAGTAAGGAAAAGGAAGAAAGAGCACCACATGAAGCGCAACGAGACGAAACATTTGACTCTGATAACAGAAGAGCGCCTGAAACTCCTCTGGATCGTCCTCGCAAAGGTGGGTGGATAACAAAATATGCAATTCGGGCCAGGGTTACACTACCGTTTTTTGTGTTTTTTTTTTCTGTGAACCTTAAGAGCCGTAATTTAAGTTGAAATGTTTTTTACTGAGATCGAAACTTGTTTCCTCGTGATATGTGGGTTCCAAAATTTTCATCGCAACGAACTGGAGAAAATCTCAAGGCGTTTGCACCTCACTTCGTGAGACTACACGATAGCTTCCGAAACGTCTCGGAGACATTCCGGACAATATCGCGCGTCACAATCAGACGGCTGTAGCTATCACCTGTTTAGTGAAGAAGGGAAAACACATGTTTTTTCTCGAAAATCAGGTTCCAGAAGAGTAAGCAAACGAATTAAAAATATTATTGACGCCATAATGCGCAAAATATTCCCAAATTATAAAATATATTTTATAAAACACTATAATCAACTCACGTTTTGTACGAAACGGCAAACTAGCTGTTTTGACGTCGCAGGCGACACAGCCACGGCGGGAATTTACGGGGAACGGTTACCGGAGGTAGGTAAACACGCATTCAAACTTCCGCCCGCCGTCGTAAACATCCGCCGTCCTCGGATCTTTAAGTCCATATTAAAGATGTAGACAGGAGAGCAACAAGGAGAAACGAGTTAACTGAACAGCTAGTGTACAGCAGTGATTTCAGCGATACGTATTATCATCCAATTCCGTCGCACATTTCAAGGAAAAATCCTCTTTTCACGGGACTTGTGTACATTGACAATACCGTCTATGCTTCCATCTGATAGTGTTTCAGTTATCAGTAATACTAACAGTAAATGGTATTTCTAACGAATGAGTCTGCGAATAAGGCAGAAATAGATATTTTGT